AATTGTTGAATCATCGATATGCATTCAAGCAGTCCGGGTCAGTCAAAATTAACGTTGATGGCGTAGTCGCCCATTCACGCTCTGGAGCAATAATTGTCATTAGAGGTGATCGGGGTACCTGTATCTTTGCCAGTGCTCCTTTAGACCATTGCTAGCACAGGTAGCGGAAGCCTATGATCTCTTGGAAGGTTTAAGAATGGCCCTCTCTCTAAACCTGTCAATCACAGTTATTGAAAGTGATGCTAAACCTATCATCGACCTCTTGTTGGTGGAGAACAGTGATTGCAGAATGCAAGAGGCTCTCCCATCAGCTAAATAACTGTGTTTTTAGTCACAGTCCAAGAAATTGTAATTAGGTTGCTCACCGTCTAGCTAGATTTTCCCTCTCTTGTACTCGAACAATTTCTTGGTCCTCCCCCCATCTTTCATTAAAAATCTTCTAGGGGTGATCTATAACTTCAAGTTGACTGTTTCTAGCTTTTGGGCTTCAAAAAAAAAAAATGTCGCCTTGATGGTGATCATTTTCCTCCTTCCAAGACAAATGGTAACCATATTTAATAAAGTATTGTTCATGTTTTGTAAATCACCAAATTAACTATCATCTCTACCACCTTTACTCAGAGGAATTGATTGAATATAGGAATCACCTCATCTAGTGAGAAAAGGCCTTGTAGTAATTATAGTGGTTGTTCTAGTTGTAAGATGATGAACCTATGTATTGCTACAATAGTATCACGGACCACCGCCCACGAATTGATCACAAAATAAAACGAGCATTCAATTACCAACTGTGGCATGCCCTTACACCCATGGCAGATCTTTTCATCCCCTCCTTAGATAAGCCCGCAAACATGAGGCGTACATCCTCCATACAACATGCACAGTCCATGGAGAGATACATGGTGAGATCTCAAGAAGGGGTGACAATGATAGCCTGCACAGTCCGATAGTTGGTCTCCACTTTTCGATCCGACATGCATCCCTGTTAAATTAGATTAGGGACTTGTGCTTAATTGCCTTGAGAATATTCTAAAACTTCTTGTTCCATGCAAGAATGCGTGGTTTCTTCACTATAAATAAAGAACCCTTCCCTTGAGGAAGGGAGGGGAGCTCTGAATATATTTTCCATTCTGTTGTAGCACATTACTGAGCTCCCAAAACCCTAATCCTCCCTTTCTCTTACTGCTTTCTTCCTTCTCAACTTTAGGACTAAGACCATTCTCACCATCACCTTACACCAGTTCAATGAGTTTAAATTCATCAGGTCCTAGACCTAATAAGTAACATGGTAATTTGTGGCCCTAGGAGAGAAAATTTTTCCACATGGGAGCATGGGAAGTCGAACATCCTTCTAAACTATTTGTTTTGAATCCTTTACCAACCCTCCAAATGATCCCTTTGCAAAGAAGGGACAAGTCATGGCATATTCTCTTCCAACACCACAACTAGTTGCCCTTAGGTTGGACAAAAAAAAAGGAAGGATTGGACTTGGTAGTGGATACCTTGAAGTAGATCCGTTCATCTATTGCCTTCACTATGAAATAAGTGTCATGCCACAATGTTTCAGCACAAGTTCTTCCAACTAACCCACCATTGTTTTTGCTTTGAATCTCCTTCTTGGCATGAGAGAGAGAGAGAAGTAGGTACAATTTTAGCCTTGAATCCTTGAGTGCACTTTGTCTTCAAATGATATTGAAATAATTCCATTTTTTTCAAATGATATGGGTAGGAAAACCATAATAGTTTTTTTGCCTTGGGCGCCATCAGGATTTGTAGAGTGCGAGAAAGTAGTCTTCTTAGTTGGGGAGGAGTGTTAGCATTGAAGTATATTTCTAACTTTTAGAGGCTGATTTGATGACCTAATATTGAGCAATAGTCTTGGAATATAGTTTCTTGATGTAGAGGCAATTGTTGAGATGAACATTTAGAAAGAGTAGAATATCATCTGCAAAGAAGAGGTGAGTTAGAAAGGGGCTCCTCTTTTAATTTTAAGCCCCTAAAGTCTGCCTTTGTTTGATTCCAATTGGATTGCTAAGGCTAATGCTTGGTTAGTTAAGATGAAAGTGCATAGCGATAGGGGGTTCCCTTGGCAGATCCCTGCCTTTGGTTGAGTCGCCCTCTCGAAACATTCATTGAGAATTAATTGCAACTCCACCATTGACACATACTAGTAGATCAAATCTTTCCATTGGATAGGGAAGCTCATCCTTTCCATCACTTACATCACAAACTCCCAATGGAGCTTATCATTGGCCTTCTTGAAGTGAAGCTTGATGGCCATGTAAAAAGTCCTACCTTTGTTATGATGCTTGAGGAAGTGGAAAGCTTCATTTTCCATTACAATATTGCCATTGATGCTTCTCCCTTCTACAAATGCTACTTGATACAAGTCTACCAAGTCCATCAAATAGGACTTGAGCGTTTGAATTAAACACTTCACAAGGAATAGGAAATTTGTTTAAGTTCATAGGCTTTGTAATGGCTCACCTCTAATGGATAGTTGTGCTTAGGGATTAAAACCAAAGCTTTGGGTAGATCTACCATGTATCTCACCCTAGAGCCTTAATAGCAGAAAAAGGCCACTTAAAATTCCTCCTCAAATAATGGATTCATGAGACGAGTTGCAACTTTTTTTCCTGGGGGGCGGGCTATATGTCAATTACATGAAAATATTCCCTTTATTTAACTAACAGAATAGTAATGACAAGGGCAATGAAAGAAACTCCATACATATTAGATGAGCTCAATGAAAATCACCAATTTAGGACACTTTTAAAATTAACTTTGATGCTTTAAGAGGCAAAGAAGACGTTGCTTAGTAGTGGGTTTGGTTTGGATCAACATTATGGCAAATGCACTAATAGCTAGCGAGGCTCATATTAATTATAGGAAAGAAGTCTAGGTGGAACAATGTGTGAACTGAAGGAGATGCTAAGATGATTATAGGTTTCCTAAAAATGAACATCACCACCACAGAACAACGAAAATATCACCTGGGACTGTGAAACCATTAATAGGGAGAATGGCATGGAGATCTTTAATCCAGATCATATTTCTCGATGATAGGAATACGGAGTGTCTGTATCGTTCTACAGAGCTCCATATTTGGTGGACATAGACGCGGTGCAGGGGAGGAGAATTCTGAAGCTGGAGGACATTTCCGGTAATGCGTACGCCTGGAGGGGTGCCGACATTTTGTCTTTTAATTCCAGACACGGGCGGACTCACAAGGGAGCTCTTCAAGGGTATGTTAGCATTGTACTAATTATAACAATACAATTCCTTCCAAATTAAACTATGGGATGCTGTTGCGGGGTGTATGTGTCTGGGTTCCCTCCCTCTAACAGCTAGCTTTTAGGAGTGAATTCTCCTAAGGCACATAACAAATGGTATTAGAGCCTACACTATGCCTCCTAGTTGCAATCGTGCGGCGCAGGTAGTGATGTCGATATTGCAGTGTTCGGCCGGAACTAGGTGGACTAGTGCAAAACCAACCTGCATGAGCATCGGGACTGCAGAGTGTGGTGGAATGTTACGATCTATTGATCCCACATCGGTAGTATGGGATGTTGTTATGGGGTGTATATGTGTATAGGTTCCCTCCCTTTAACAACTAGCTTTTAGGGGTGAGTTCTCCTAAGGCACATAACATTGCTAGAGGTGGCAGCACTAATAAATGTTTTGCAAAAAGAAAAAGATGAACAATGCTTTTGCTCTTATTTGATTTTTTTTTAAGAAATTATAATAAAAGTATTATTTTTATTGATACTAAAGTCCAAAAGTTGCTCTAATCAGGTATAATCCCTATTTTTAACCCATCTTGGCCCGCCATATAATTTTCAAAATACTTAAGAAATTTTTTACTAGACACTTATAAGCGTTTATTAGGATAAACAGTTATTTATCCAGTTAAGTGCTCCCAAACTGACGCTATGGGGTTGCAAAGTCAAATTCATAGTGTTTTTTTTTTTTCTTTTACTTTGAAGGTTCAATTCGTAAGTGTTGTAAAAAGAAAAAAAAAAAAAAGAATTCAATTTATAAATCATAAGCATGGTAAACCCGATCAACTGAGTTTGGCATGTTAACTGGATAGGCCTAATAGAAACGCAGATTCGAAATAACCACCTTATGTTGTTGAAAAAGTTACAAGTACCAAAAGAAGGACTTGTTTGGGGGGTGATTAACAAAAACTTGTTAAAAAACCAAAGCGTAATGTGTTGTTGGATTGGAATATTTGTTGGAGCGATAATGGTAAGTTTTTCCGATCCGATTCACGAATCTCGAAAGTACCATATTTCCATTTCCAAACCAACAAGCAACAGCGAGTGCACTAACCTTTCGATAAGGACAAGTGGGATATAATAAAAGAAATTTTCAAAATATAATTACTATAGCGTTCGTTCGTACCGTCTTCACTTGGATCTGTCCTTCCTCAAATGATCCTCCACCAAATGGAGATAGTCTAGCCACTCTACATTCATTCACATAAATAAATATAATAAATACAGAAAGATAAAAAGGCATTAACAAATAACAAAAAAGAAGAAAGAAAACGACTCTGACTCTTGACTTTTCCACACCCCCCACCCCTAGTACTAGACGTACCCCGTTAATTCCGCGTCCTTTCACGTACGGAGAACTTTGTTTCTTCAAAATGTCTTAAACACCCTAATCTTATCCTTAAATGACCAATTCCCCTCAAACATGCTCGCACATGGGTGAACTGGACAAACCATCATATATATTGCCATACAGCTCCTAAGTCCTAACTAGATTCCGATCTGGCGAACCCAGACAGCCTTCCTCAGCTGAGACTGAAAGTCCACCTTTCCTCTTTGAATCAGATCGAAATCCATGATTGATATCGAGACATCATTTCCCACCATTATTGCGCGTCAAGTTCCCGGGAAATCGTCATTTTTTACCAAGTAAGGGACGATTTCGTCTTTGCAAGTATAAAAGGGCTCTTTCAGTAATTTTAAAATCTACAACTTCTTCTTCCTCGCCAGTCACTCCATCCATCCGAAGTTCCGAACTGCACCAAGCCACCAACCAGAGCAATACTGTATTTCTGTTTTCGGTTAACAACCTAAAGAATCCCATTTCAATATCTTCAAAAATTTTTCCTTTTCGATCAATTTTTCTTCTTCGTCCTCCTCATCCAGCATTCTTCATTCCTATGGTTATGTTTCATCAATCCTAGAAGAAAAAACTACAATTCAGGCGTTCAAGTTTTCGGGTTCTTAAATCTAGCCTTCCGGAGAATCTTTTTGGGAAAAAAGAAGCTTGGATCCATGAAACGGCAGAAACCAGTTGAATGTTTCAACCCTTTCGAATTCCTTTCGGAAGAAATTCTCTTCACGATTCTCGATTGCCTCGACGAGAACCCTCTCGACAAGAAATCCTTCGCTCTAGTCTGCAAATCCTTCTACATCGCCGAATCTCGACACCGGAAGACTCTCAAACCTCTCCGCTCCGAGCTTCTTACCGCGATTCTTAACCGATATCCTTGCATTACGCATCTCGATCTCTCTCTATGCCCTCGCATAACGGACAATACCCTCATCGTGGTCTCAGCTCTCTGTAAATTCACTTTGCACTCCATTGACCTCTCCAGATCTAAATTCTTCTCTCATGTGGGCCTCGCCAATTTGGTTCTGAATTGCTCGTCCTTGCTCGAGATCGATCTGTCCAATGGAACGGAGCTGACGGATTCTGCTGCCGTGGCAATTGCAGCGGCGAAGAATTTGGAGAAGCTGAGCCTGGCCAGGTGTAAATCAATTTCGGACTCAGGGATTGGGTGTATTGCGGTTGGATGTAGGAAGCTCAGGGTTATCAACCTCAAGTGGTGTTTGGGTGTCACTGATTTTGGTGTTGGTTTACTCGCTGTCAAATGCAAGGATATCCGCAGTTTAGATCTCTCTTACGTACCGGTAATACACTAATACCTCTTTTCTTCATCGGCTTCCTTTCTAAGCTATCATTTAGCAATGCTGCTTGCTTCTCTGTTCATATCCTTTTCACAGAAAATAGGATTTCTTTTTTTTGTATTATTATTGAATGGAAATATCACTTGGTGATGGCTTTTATTCTTTTTTTTTTTTATTAATTATCTGTTTGCTTTTGTTTTCTGCTTTTGCATTCTATATTGCTCCGCGTTATTGTTCTATTCTGCATATGCTGAACTGAACGTAGTTGATTTGTTTTTTTCCTAGATGATTAGGAATATACTCCACTTAGTTCGATTTCTTAATTGATGGCATTAACCCTACGGATATAGCGCACTCTCTTGACTTTGATTTCCTGATTTTGTAGACTATGAACTTATTCTGTTAAGACTGCTAGATCAGCTAATTTTTATCCTAATTAAAACTAGTAGAGGTTGAATGCTGAAGAAGGGATTGAACATGGTGACCCACAACTCCACAAGTGCTAATGATCTTTCAATAGATTTGCACTTCCCTGTGGCTGAAACGCTATCTCGTTAATTCTAGATCTGTACTTAGGAAACTGAAAGCTGAAATCCACAATGCAGTTCATGGATTTAAAGGAGTATTGTATGGACTCTCGTCACTCTCCTAAGTGGCTGAAGCGGACACATGTTGGATTCTGACACTCCATTGGATTCTTGATGGACACTTCAATATAGCACTTTCCTTTTGTCTACTTGCTTATTTGATATAAATGAATAGGTAATATAGACAATTAATGACAACCATTATTAAATAACAAAGATAAATTTAGTAACAAAATAAACGATAAAAAACCAATGATAAAGTTCTATACCTTATTTACAGGTGTATAATGTTAGAACTTGAAAAAATATGGATTCTGTGTATCCTTGTTTTTTCTTGTTGAGTCAAACTCCTAGAAATGCATCATATTCTGATTCTCGTGTGTGTCCATGAAACACATTTAAAGTTAAATGTGTATTCCTGAATCAAAATGATAGATCTACATGTTAGATGCTCAATTTGGTTAGATTTGTTAAAGGAATGGTATTTGCGTTTCTTTCAATTACCTGAATACTCTCGGTCTGCATCCTTAAGATTTCTTTATATTGTTTCTTCTGTTACATCTGTTTACCAAGAAATATTTCTCTTTTTATCTTGTTCCCTTTTGAATGCGTTGTGGCCTTGTGGGAAATACCTCATCAAAATGAAATTCTTTATGTTGCAGATCACAAACAAAAGCTTGCCATCTATCTTGCAATTACAATATTTAGAGGATTTGGTTCTTGTGGGATGCTTTGGTATTGATGATGAAGGCATTGCAACCTTCAGTAGAGGGTGCCCATCAGTGGAGGTACTTATAATATGCAAATGAATTTATCATTACTATGGTTTTAAAGAGAAATATCTGATCATTTATATCTTGAAGATTGCCTCTTCTGTGAGTACAATATTAAGAAATTTCAGTTTCCACTAGTTGAGTGACTTGGGCTTTGTACAATTTTCAAGCAATTACAATGAAGTATATTGATAGCACCAATTGCCATTTCTTTAACAAAAACTAGGCAAAACATGGTTAATTACATAGATTACTGGTTGTGTTTTCAAGTAGGGTGCAACCTGGGCAGGCTCAGGTTGAAAATTTGTCAAAATTTGAATGGGACTGGCCTCAAACCCTGGGCCCAACATAGTATAAATTCTTCAACTTGGGGAGCCCAGATTTCATGAAAGCCAGAACTCTACGAAGAGCATGAAGCTGCACATCAAGAATATTTCCCATACATGTATGTTCATGGGGAGTGTTTGCAGTGTATTTTCTTTTGGGAGATCCTGGCTCCAACTTGGGTACCCAACTTGCACCCCTATTTTCAAGCCCATCTTATCAACAAAGATTGGAAAGATAAAGAGTTACTTTGTCTTTTGCAGGTATAGAAGAGTTAATATGCCTTAAGATGTCTCACTGTCTTCTTTAACTTTTTAAAGCTGTGCTACCAGGATAAACACATGATAAATTTTTCCAAAATACCCTTTGCTTCTTATAGACTCAAAGAAAATGGGTTTTATCTGTGAGCCTTCCAAATGCACATTTAGTATTAGTTTGAAGTTCCTAACAGAGAATGAAGTATTTGATTCATGGCATACTAGTATTATATTTCATATGGACATCCAAAATTGCTGTATGCATGGGTCTATCATTTGGTATATATGATGCATGATGCATAAATGTTTTACAATTCATAATTTGTACATAAAGTTCTATTTGCAAAGATTTAGAAAAAGTTGCTCTTTGTTTCCATATACCAAATTGTCTGTTTTCAGAGAACCTTCCATTTTCCTTTTGTAACAGAGACTTAATATAGCGAGTTGTCAGAATGTGGGTCATGTGGGTTTGTCTTCCCTAACAAATGGAGCAAGAAATCTACGCCAACTTATTTTAGCCTATGGGTCTCCTGTAAGTCTGCAGTTTCATATCATTTTCCCTTGATTATTCAGGAAATGGGATAATTTTAGCTGTTGAGGCCCAACAGCATATGCTGTTGAGAGCGTTTTTGGGCTGGGCATGTTCACCTATTCACACCCATGTCTTTCTTTTTGGTCAATAAAATAAGGGGAAATTACTATTTTACCCACTCTCATGGTAACGTGGCATTCCCAAAAACACTCTCAACAGCATAGGCTGTTGGCCCCCAACAGCTAATGCTTTCCTCGGGAAATCCTTTTATGGCTTATTATTTGCTCATGGTTGTGGTTCAGGTTACACCTGCTTTGGCTGCGGCATTGCAAAAACTTTCAAAGTTGCATTCGATCAAATTAGATGGGTGTATGGTTACATGTACTGGGCTACAAGCTATTGGAAATTGCTGTGCATCATTGAGGGAGCTGAGCTTAAGCAAGTGCCCAGGAGTGACAGATGAAGGGCTCTCTTCCCTCTTGTTAAAACATAAACAGTTGAGGAAGCTAGACATAACATGTTGTCGCAAGATAACTCATGTCTCTATTGCCAACATCACAACTTCATGCACCTCACTCATTTCCCTCAGAATGGAATCTTGTAGCCTGATTCCAAAGGAAGCCTTCGTTTCTATTGGAGAGTGTTGTCATCTATTGGAAGAACTGGACCTTACAGATAACAAAATTGATGATGAAGGTTTTAGCCATACCTACCCAGCCTATACCATAATTATGGTATCTTAGTGGCTTATTCATCTTATTTATTTATTTATTTTTCCACAGGTCTCAAGTCCATCTCAAGATGTTCTGAACTTTCCAGCTTAAAAATAGGCATTTGTTTGAATATAACTGATGAGGGGCTTACCCATGTTGGCATGTCTTGCCCAAAGCTTATAGAGCTTGATCTGTACAGGTTTGCAACTCTACCAAGTAGGTCAATATTACTTAGTAAGCATGTATATAGATGGAAGTACAAATCAAATGTCAATATTCAAGGAAGAGGGTTTAACATATGTGCGAATACGAGTGTAAGCCAATTTTGTAGAAGTGATGGCAAATGATTTGTGTGCATTTTATGCATGTGGTTGCATGTGGGGATGGGTTTAAAATATAGGCTACTTTTTAGGAATAACAACAGATGGCAATTGGTAACGGAGTTCCAACAAGAAGAAACTGAAGATTTAACATTACACTTGTATGTATATGCTGTCCATGTTTTCCACTGGATTTTGAACAATCAAGGTTATGTTAAATTCTGTGGGTGTTTATTGGAAAAACGCTGCCACATCAGCACCACTTAGGTGTTGGCATTTATTGTGCATGAAACCACTGCTCGGTTTCAATGTTTATCAAATAAACATTAAAAACAGAAACACTTTGATTTATGTGCATGAAGCATTAGGGGCACTTCAAATTCTGGTTTCTCCCAACACCCCAACATTTATTGAAATGAAATGCTTACCTGGAGCATTGTAAGCTGAGGTGGAAGATAGCTTTATGGGGTTTTACTTGAAACACCCATGAAATGCCCAACCAAACAACAAAAACAATAAACATTTAATGTTATGTTTTTCAATTAAACATTTATCTGAGAAACACCTCATCCATAAACACCCACGGAACCAAACACATACCAAATATATGGATTCTATGAAGGCAGTCCCATTCCATTTTTCTCATAACTTTCTTTTGTTTAGCTCTTTCATACAACATAGAGCTGAATAAAACCCTGTATCATATGAACTAAACATACTTTATTTCATTTATACCCTTATTTTGAATTTTCAGTTTTGTATTTCTTACTTATGTATTTCTTTACAACTTTTCATTGCACATTTATGTTTTATGGCATGGGTATCAGGGTTAAAGGTTTTATTGGAAAATGAACTGGAGTTGTCCATTGCTTGCTTGTGTTTATGGGCACAGAATTCTGGTCAAGACATACCTGACTGCAATTCTTTTGTTCAGATGTGCAGGAATAACTGATTTGGGCATTGCTGCAATTGCACGTGGCTGCCCTCGGTTGGAGATGATTAATATGGCCTATTGTAAAGATATTACAGATAGTTCATTGATATCATTGTCAAAATGCTCAAGGTTAAATACACTTGAAATTAGGGGATGTCCTTCTATCTCATCTGTGGGTCTCTCAACCATAGCCATGGGATGTAGGCTACTAACCAAGCTAGACATAAAAAAGTGCCACAATATCAATGATGTTGGAATACTTCCACTTGCTCATTTCTCCCAAAACCTCAGACAGGTAATTCTCGTTCAATTCTTGCTTGGGAATCTACAGACTGATATTAAAACTTGGCAACTAAAACAGTAGCTTTTCAATTAATTTTTTGTAGATAAACTTGTCATATTGTTCGATAACAGACGTAGGGCTCTTGGCACTAGCAAGCATCAGTTGCCTACAAAGCATAAACATGATGCACTTGAGGGGTTTGACTGCAAATGGTCTGGCAGCTGCCCTGCTGGCATGTGGTGGGCTTACAAAAGTAAAGCTCCATTCGTCCTTTAAGCCCTTGCTCTCTAAACCTCTTTGTGAACACATTGAAGCCCGTGGATGTGTGTTTCACTGGAGAGATAAAGCATTCCAGGTACTTATCACACAGTTTTACCACACAATATCTGTCAGTGTATTTTGTCCATTTAATTTCACCTTGGTTCTTACATGAATTTGTTATCATGGCTACCTCTACATATTTGAATTGCAAGCACCAACTTATGTGTAAAGATTGTGGTAGATCTAAAAGTAGCTGGGGGAAAAACAAACTACATCTTGCTGATATTTCAAATTTTCTATTACTTCTGATTGCAATGTTGCTTGAGGCTTTGTCTTGTGAGTCATTCTTGAGATTTTTTGCCTTAGTATGCATTCCTTGATTCTTTTTTTTATACATCCTAATCATATGGTAAGTGAAAGTTGAACCAAATTTAATTGTCAATCATATTGTAAATACTACGATAACTTCTGTTTTCACAAATATGTCAAAAAGAAACAATAATAACATATATATATATATATGTATATATGTATGTATGTATAATCGGCTTAAAAACAAATCGTTTCCTGAAAAATTTTAAAGAATCAGATCTCAAGTCACTTTTTCTACAAATATCTGGACCATAGGGGCCTTTGAATAGTCAGTAGTCTTAGGTGGAATTAAACTTATATTTATATGATAATTTAGTAACTAAAACCTGTTAAATATTAACCAAGATCGTTGGATGACACTGATGGCTTTCGTTTATGACTGACAGGCTGACAATTCAAAGGGTTGGAAGTTACAGTTGGAAGATATGCCATAAGAGATTTGAAGCTCTTCTTTGGATTGGGGATGGTGTATTATTTTGCTGGAGTTTAATCCAAATTGTATATAAGAGACAATTCATTACATTATCCATTTTTGGTCGTTTCCCTCTTTCTATAGTTGTACTTGCAAGCCTTGAATCATTGTTCTCTCAAGAATTTGGAAATGGATCTTAGGAAGAAGGCTGTTATCCATAAAAAAGGTGGTCTTTTAATTCCTTGAATCAAGGTTCAAAATTTTGATATCAGCCGATATGTATCGTATTGGGGGCTTCTCAATATGCCCTTACAGGGAGTGTTTCAGGGCCTCGAATGATTCAGAGGGTGGATGGATCTTAAACCAGTTCCTCTGAACCAGATTTTAAAAAAAAAAAAAAAAAAAAAGCTATCCCTGATATCGAATGCTGTGGCACTTTTTACTTTGTACTCTTGTTTGGATCATATTGCACTGAATATTTTAACCACGAGTGATTGGATTTGGACTTCGCTTAAAATATGTATTTTGGACTGAATATTTTAAGGATGGACCTTAAAAGTCGCATAGATCCATGGAGCTTAACTGGCCAACAGGCATCAAACTTTGTGCCTCTGACTGACTGTAAGTCTGTTTATTTTCGATACAAACACAAATAAACACAAATATGTATTTTGCATAAATACCCTTTTTTTTTGTTTAATGATGCAAAGTGGATTCTTAACCCCTTTTTGTTTTCTTTCTGTTTGTTTTAAATTGATGCAAAAGGCTTAAGGCTGTACAGTGGTTTCTGTGCCATTCAATCAACTCAGGATTCAAAACATACAAATTTGTACCCAAAAAATGAGTAAATTAATCCACTCTCCTCATGCTAGGAAAATATCAGAAAAGACGTTTTTTCATTTTAAATCATTGCAATTTTATATTTCAAATAAACACTTGTAAATCTGAAACGGGGTGCATATTGTATTATCACAAACAAACGCAACCTAAGAAAATAGTAAAAAACAAATATATACAGTGAAAACTGAACCTGGAGGATATTGAGGATTATAAACTTAAAATGGGACTGACTGATCAGTATTCAGTGTGATCACAACCTTCAAATAGAAAAAAAAGTGTGCTCACCATGTGTGTCCACCTGGTCCAGACTGGTTGGTTTAAAAAATGTACCACTAATTTACCCCGATAGCACCAGGTGGTTGGTTTGTCAATTCAACGAGGCAGTTGGTCCGGTGAAAAATGGTCAAAACCATCAGTAAGCCCACTGCCCACGACCTGGTTATCCGTCTTGTCACCGCTCACCAGTTTGTCGTCAACGAACCTCTGTCAACGAGAGTTTGAAAACATTGATTCCATAATTCTAGGGGTATGAGCAAGATGAGTCTAGGGTGTGGATTTTTCATGTGACATGAAAATAACTACGCGCCCCCTGAATTGGCATGTTTCGCACTTGAAGACCACATTCTCCGTTTGGTTCGCGAAAATAGGAATTTGGAATTGGAATCGAAATAGGTTATATTGATTCTAACTGTTTGATCGGATAGAATTAGATTTTTATTTTTATTTTTGTTGGAATGACATTTTCCTATTTCAGGAAATGGCCATTCTCTGCCCCTCCTTTGAGAATAAAATCTCATTCTTACTAATTCCCATTTTCATTCTCATTTCTGTGAATCAAACAGATTATGAAAATAAATCATTCCAATTTTAATTCCGATTCTAACAATAATCCAAATGGACCCTCAATTCCTAGAAACTGATTCGATGAGGTTTTCCCTTATCATTATTTTTCCTATTGTATTACAACCCTACAACCCTTTATTAAATTGCCACTCTTTTTCATTTGGGAACTGCTTATTTAGCTTTGAGCCTATAGGCATGAGGTTGAAAATGAACATTCTTCTATAGTGATCCAAATATTAAAAAAAAAAATTATGAACATTCAGCTAGACTGCTATAGGAGTTTATTTTTTATTGTGAACACTCACCCTCCAACGTGACATTTTCATTGCTCGCCAAATCAACATGTTTTCTGCTCACGTAACACCGTTAATATTGCGAAGAGAGAATAACTAAAGATGGGCTAATGAAAATTTATTAGACTCAGTATGGAAAGAATACAAATCTAACTATATATATAGTAAGACAGTCCATGTCACCATGCCTCTCCTTGGTCCAGGCCCCCTATTTAATTTTTTGTTTTATTGAAATTTTTATTTTTTTTTAATTCTACATAGTTATCCATTAAACCAATAAGTAAATAACAAGGCTTAGCTATTTCTAACAACCATAAAGAAAAAGAGATTTGCTTTTCTAATGTTTATCCAAGTGGCACCATTTACCCCACCTTCTCCTAAATTGTCTCTAATTCATATTTATCTCCTAAATTATCTCTAAATCTTATTTATCTCTTAAATTATCTCTAATTTAGTAGAGATATTCTCTCCTAAACTATTTATAATTCCTATTTATCCTTTCCCCCACTTTTTATCTATATCTATCTAAAGAAAGTGTCAATTAAAAATTTCCAGAATTATTTAAATATTATAATGAAATTATATACTTACTTTAAAATATTTATTCAAAACACAAAATTAATTATAATAGATTTAATAATATTCATATTATTAATAGTTCTATCCTTTTACAAAATTCATCATGAAATTATGTAGTAACAATATAAATCATAATTTTATGCATTATTCAATTTAAGAGTTATTAAAATAATAAAAATTTAACATTAAAAATAAAACATTATTTAAATAATTCAATAACTAAATATCTTAAATAACAAAACATTAAAAATAGTTAAATAATTATATAAAAATAATATTTAAAATTATGTAATAACTTTAAAGTAAATAAAATTCAATAAATAAAAAATTTTAAATAATTTACATATTATTTAAATATTTAACATGACTAAATTTTAAATAGTTAAAATAACGAAATCATGTAATAAATTTAATAAAAAATTCTTAAATTTAGATAAATAATTATAGTAGATTTCATAATATTCATAGTAATAATAATTTAATATTTACAAATTTAATAACGAATTATGTACCAATGGTAATAATTATAATTTTATAGATTATTGAATTCAATAAATAATTAATATTTTAAAAATTGAAACAACAATATTATTTAAATAACTAAATAATATTATAAATACCTAATTTCACTTATATAAATTAATAATTATAAAAATTAATATCTATTAGTAATAATTTTACAATATTAGTGTATGTTCATTATATATTTATATGTATTAAAATTAATATTTATTGTATTTTCAATAATTTTTTATTGTATTTTTTATAAATATATTTTTAATAATTATTTATAAATCTATTTTTGTTGTGTTATTTAACATAAAATTGTCAATAATTATTGTAGATCAAACAACTATTATTTAACTTTTGAAATTTAATTTATTGTATTTTTATTATAAATTTATTTTTAGTAATTATGTATTTTTTTTAATTTATTGATTAATATTTATTAGATATTAAACTATTTGTTGACTAATTTAATATATTTTTAGTATTTATTGTATTTTCATTATAAATTTATTTTCAATAATTGTGTATTTTTGTTATAAAATTTCAATAACTATTAATTTATTTGAAGTTAGGAGTGTTCAAGGATTTGTTCAATTTGGTTTGTAGGTTGTTTTGCTTACCAAATCAACTTGGTCAAGTTAGGAGTTTGTCACACAAAATTGACTGACCATTAGTGAAAACCTGTCAACTCGAGTTGTATCTGTTTGGGTCTATTTTCTTATTTGGTTTGTTTGTTCAAAAGATTTAAGTTTAAAAAGTAAAATTAAATTTAATAAATCAAAATGATATTATTAAAAAATAATTAAATTTATGATATAAAATATTTTAGACTAAGAAATATGGAAATTTTCACTTTCCTGTATTAAAAAAATCATATTTAAAATATAAAATCTTAATATATATCTATGGTTGGGTTGGTTCAGTTTTGTTCGATTTACAAATGGCCAAACTGAAACTAACCTAACTTTGTCGGATTGATAAATTATTGAACCAAAGCCGATTGAAAATTCTAGAAAATCGATCGACCAACTCGGGTCGAATTCAATCGAATTGGTTTTTAAAAGTTAAAATATAACAAAATTATATACTCTTATGTATTTCTATTGTTTAGCTTTCTTTTAACAAAGCTTGTACATCGCACGGGTCACTGCTAGTATAAATATATACACCATAAAACCATTTATATTCTATTTCTAAACCTTATATTTGCACTGTACATATTTATATTTACAATCTTCTTGAACGTTTAATCCTTATTTTTGCACTGTAAATACAAATACATACAGTACAAATACAATGTTTAAAATTAAGAATATAAAATAATACAAAATTGGGGTTCAATTGGACTGGATTTGGTCCAATCCTAACCAGTCCAATGTGAGACCATTACAAATGGACCAGGTCCAATCCAATCCAATAATTATTTCGGACCATTTTGGACTGGTCCAATCCAATGTCTGGACCATCCAATCTGTTTAAATTTGTTTTAATTTAGATTAATTCTAATCCAAACCTGGTCTATTGGCATCAATATTCTAATCTTCTATAAATGAACCAAAAATAGGCTCAATCCAACCCAATCCAATATAAATTTATTATGGATGAATCAGGTTTAATCAATCCAATAAATACTTTGGACCATTAAGTCTAGACTGGTCCCATTCAATATGTTTTGTTGGTCTGTCCAATCCATCTAAATTGATTTTGATTTGGATGGGGATGGCGTCCAATATCCAAAACCGGCCCATTGATACCCCTGATACAAAATAGAAGATTTTGCACTTGTATATATTTGTATTTATATTCTTCCTAGACGTCTTTAGAAATTTGGTTAAACATCTCTGGTCGATCCTTGTTGAAGTTATTACAAGATTAATTCTAAAAGTTTGATTAAATTTTAAAAAAATCTATAATGCCAGAAAAACATATTTCGGAAAGGATTTGACCAAATACAGCCCATTGTAAATTTTGATGAAAATGCATGTGACTGATTAACACTTTTAAGATGCCGGTTGATTGGTTCATGTCTTTCGGGTATCATAATCAAACCCTAAATATTAGAGAGATCTTTGATAGAGAAATTTCTATCAAAATAAAATCTCAAATACCATGGACGGAGAATAGTAAGACGAGGGAAGAGACTGATTTGCACCATTTTTCTTGGCAAGTTGTGAAATATCTTTCACTAATTAATAACTGCCTCTGCCTGAATCTTTTATCAAAATATACCGAACGATTCCTTTATGAACAATGATATAACAGGAAGAGAGAACTGAAATCCATGGAACTAGGGAAAGCTTTAGAGCTAGGAATCAATGATCACTGTCTACGCAGTATGATCTCAGCGTGGTTAAAAAGAGAGTTCGAATATAATGGAGAGAGAGAGAGAACCAGAAATGATAGTCTTACCACATAACAGTAG